GATTATCTTCTGTGTCTGTGTTAATTGGTTTCCCTTTTCTTTGTTGAAGAGGGTCTGTGCAATCCTTCTGCCTAGTCCGCCATCTTGCCCCGCTCTTATATGCTGTTAATGTCACTTCTTCCTTTGTAGTTTAGCAGGAGTTACTAGAATCCCATAATTATAAACTTTTTCTTCTGAGGTATGAATGTGTAATATAATGACTGATTCTTTAATTGTCTGAGGGACCTAAAGATATGAACAATATTCACAGCTATATGCACTGTAATGTTTACTTCATTAAATTCACACAGAAAAACAAACTTAGAAAACCAAATTTTTCTTGAGCATTTAAACATTAATTCCAAAATGGAAGAATTTAAATAGTGACTACAAATTTCGTCTCGGAAGGAAAATTGGGTAATATACTTCTGTACTGATACCGGCTTGGAAACCCAAGGAGGAGTCGCTATGAGTCGGGTCCAACTTGATGGCACATAATAACAACAACAACAACAACAAATTTAGTATGGATAAGTCTTTCTAAGTCTTCAGATACCCTAAGCAGCTAAGAAAACATACATAAAAACAATGATTATAAAGTTTCTTATTGTATACCTACCTATTCTGAAACATCAAGACTATAGGTTTCAGTAACATCTTCATTATTTCTCTATTTGTTTAATAACTTATCAGTGTATTATGATTCTTAATTTTTTCTAATCTTTCAGTATTAGGACTTTGATCTCTGTCTAAGATTTCAATATTCTTACTAGAACCCAAAGAAGATCTGAGTGATTGATCAGTTGAATCTTGGTCTGGACATGGTCCAATTGCGTAGATGAGAATAATTCAAACCTGAACCACAATGACTTATTTTTTGGTATTTTACGGTAAACTTATATGTGGTGTTTTATGGTAAACTTTGTCAAGTCTGTCTGTCTTGTTTTACATTTGAAACTTGGTATCTTTTGCAGTAATGTTATATTAACCTTCTCATGGCTTACAGTACCTAACCTACTAACTTGTCATTAAGGTATTTTGAGCTGTCCACTGTCATCATTACAGATGCTTGTATTCTTTATTGTCAATCAAGATTGTAGATGTTTCCTTTCCTTATAATGAGGATTTCGTTTTTTGTTGTTAACTTGCTTCTTTAGGACGGTGAGTAATTTATGAAGTAATTTAGAATACTGTATTGAATTGTCTCTCTTACTTAGTCACTGTATGGGACCACCTATGCTACCTTCTATCTGGTTGTTATTTGTACTTACCATTCTTCTTATTTGTGTTCATCAATCTGTCCTGTTCTTGATTTTAGTACCTTCATCTGCCAGGTTCATTTAGCCTAGTTAACAGCTCCAAGTGTTTATTCTTTGGCACATAGTCAGAAAAAAATAAGAACATATCTAAATACTATAAACAAAATAATTATTAGAAGAAATTAAATACTCAATACAGATGTTCCCTCCTTCTTAAAAAAATAATCTTCTATCATTTTGCCCTGTTTTTGCCTTATGACCACTTTGCTATGCTGTATTTCATGCTCAGAGTCTCACAGCTTGGTCAGTGAGAAGTCCCTTTATGTTGACTCCAATGTATTTTTTATACTTCTGCTATTCCTAAAAGCATCTATGCTATCTGGAAACTGCAGAAGGTACCAGACTCATTTTGATTTTTTTCCTGCTTCATGTCATAAAATAAACTATCCTCAAGAATATTGGGAGGCCAATAGTATTGGAGACCAAACTTTGGGTCTCAGGGTGCATATGAGACTTACTAGTGGACAAAAGTACAAAAACTGTTGTTGGATCACTTTCAGTGGTTTCAGAACTTGAAAATGTTTAATGTCATGAAGTCATAGTTCATCCCTCTGTGCCCTACTTTTCTTACAGTTGTTTCTTATAGTAGGTGCATTTAATGTGTGTCCTAAGGAAGCACATAGATATCTAGGGGGAATTATGTACAGCTCAAAAGATCATATTTCTGGTTAATAAAGAAAAGTGCAGAAAATAACCTTTAATTCTGAATCAACTTGTCAGAATATTTTTATTTCAGTCCAGTGGACTCTTTGGAAACATTTTAATAATATAAAATGATTTGAACACAATAAAAGCTATTAATTTTCTTTCTGAAAAGACCAAAGTATATTGTAACTATATAAAAGACCTGTGTTTTCTGACACTATAAAAAATCTAATTTTAACTGTATGTTATGTAGCCTACTAAAATTTATAATGGGAGAGAACTTATCATTGGAATTTTCAGTGTCTCTTAGAAATACAGGCAAAACAAGAATATTATTCTAATATCTTTAACTCCTTGGCTTCATTTAACCAATTCCAACCAAACTTTATTTAAGTTAAGCTTTTTCGTAATATATACCAGGTTTTTAATAGAGAGATTCTTGATTGACAAATTTGAATTCTAACAAACTTACGTGTTTCTTTATGTGTATATTGTCCTTGATCTGTGCCTTCTCCAAGTGCTAAATCTTCTGCCTAACTATTTGAATTTCTGAAAAGACCAATTCTAGAGAAAAATCAGGCTAACCTCATAGAGGATTCACTTTTATCTGTTTCACATTGGAATGTTCAGAACCAAACTACCCTGAAAGTTCAGGTCACCACAGACTACATGGGACCATGTTCACCTGCCAGATACAGCTTGTCAGGCAATGTAGTTCCAAATATAACAGACTCACAATGTGGAAAGCTAGGCCAGTCCATATTCTTCAATGCTCAGGATAATTATCTTCTAAATCTGCTTCCATTTGTAAATGCCCTGCCTCAGATTAGGGCCCATTCCAGTTGTGGTTTTGCCATCTGTGTCCATTCTTGCAGGTGTCTCACACACACTCACACATCCTCTTCACTATCAGA